GACAAATTCCTTAAAACTCAAATGGTTGTTAATTAGATGACTTCCGTTAACTCTTGTTTTTCCTTAACAATATAGGGAGGGAATTTGACCTCTAGCCATCTGACTCATCATTCACAAAGGACGTTGTGGAGGACTGCCTTGCCAATTAAAATTATAATATGAATCTTAGGCATTATTATTTTAAGAATCTATCTGAATGTATCATAATTTATTTGTTTAATAATATAATTGGAGTCTCTAGGACTCTAACTAGTTTTAATAATTTTTTTTTTTTTTTTTTTTTAACTCAAGATAGAAATATTATAGACGAATAGAGAGATTCACATCGTGCGCGAAAATGTTAAACAGGAAGTTAGGCCCAATACAATCCCAAACAAAACCCTGGCCCTCATTAAACACATACTTAGCCACCGAGTGAGCCGCACGGTTACTTCCTCTATAAACAAATTCGAAAGTCACCAACTCCAAGCCACGCTCTAGAGTCTTTGATGTCACCAAGTATACATTCCAAGCTAAACTTGTGGGTAAGCTCCTTCCTGATCATTTGGATGAGAACCTTGGCATCAGATTCAACAATCACAGTGTCGAAACCTTGCTTAATACAGAATTCCAAAGCATCACGAATTGAAGTGGCCACAGCCGCTGCTGCACTATGATTATCATTGTATTGATGTATTATTTTGGAGTTAGTTTTGAGGTGTTCTACCCCTTAGACCAACTTCAATGGTAGGCTAAAAGCCAAATTACCCTCCAAAATTTTCTCTCAAACTCACTCCAACCCAAGAGGAAAATTTGAGCTAAATGCTAAATGCTAAATGCTAAACCAAGATCAAATTCCCCACAAAATTGAGCCCAGAAATCGGAGTGGACTTCACCCAATATTTATCGGAATTTAAATTTTTTTAGATTAAAATGTTCATAAAATTAATTTACAATAGTCTACATATTTATTTAAAAAAATTAATTTAACAAAAAAAATAGTCTAAGTTCATTCTTTAATAATCCCGGCTAAAATTTTAAGCTAGAATGGTTGGAGTAGAAAAATTATTTCTGGGCTAAAAGCTAAATTTTTCGAACTAAAATATTTGATTTTTAGCCTATGTATTAGAGAGGGTCTTATGTGACCAAAATGAATAAAGTTATCATTGTATTGATATATTATTTTAGCTGCAATAATAGCATCTTTCAAAAGGTGGCAGGTTCTCACTGTTCCTGTCCACCCTTAGGAGTTAGGATGGTCATAGTTTAATTGTCTCAACATGTTGCACGTACTGAGGCAGAAAGGACTACATTTATCTGCATTATTGCTACTGAATAGGGCGTACCTAGGGCACAGTACAAAGCTATAAATATTGGTTTGTGGATCTGGTTCTTCATATATTTTAACGGATATGAATCCGAATCTAAATTGCGGATATCTTATAATTCTTATATTCTAATCGTTTATCGTACATTATATCGTCAAAAATTATTTTGAATATTTTATTTAAAATTAAACATAAATAGTATTCAATGAAAATTGACAACATAATATATGATGAACGGTTAGGATGTGAGGATTACTAGAATTCTCATAAAATGAATCCGAATAGGATCCTCTTCCTATTATGACACACATTTTATTGTATATGTGTGACGATTCGGGGACACATTTTGACAACTTTCTAAGGACAACTTTGTAATATATTTCAACGATAAATAATTTATTTTTCAGGTTTTCCTTCAAATATTATCTCTACAAAAAATTACTCAAATACAAAATCATATGACTGGATTAAATAGTAGTCATTTTTGTGTTTCTTTATAGAATCATTTTCTTAAATACAAATGAATGCCTAGTTTTCTGTTTTGTTCACCTTTTGCGAGAATGATAAAAAAATGATAAAGTAAAATATAAAAAGTTCGGATCCTTTAAAAGGATTATAGAATGAGAACCCCCACAAGAATGTATATCCACAAATATGTTTCTCAACTATATATTTAGGATTTGGATCCGGGACATACATTTCTTACACATTTTGTATGGCCCATTTCGTATTGTATTTCAACGATCTTAGCCATATATTTTGGTACATCATTCATATATGGATCATCTTTGCAAGAATTTAGACAAATTTAAAACCATTAAAACATTTATTTATATTAAAAAAATAAACGAATATTGTAATCAGGAAGAAAATGGATGGATATTGTTCTACGAAAGCTCCACAAAGAAACATTTCCTTGGATGCTATTCTACACAATTTGGTCTAACTGGTAAGGATGACGAAAATGTGAATTTGGGAAAACTTTGGGCTGGTTTTTTAATTTGCACATTCACAAATTAATTGCGCTTTGACGGTGATAAATCATAAAAAGAGAACGTTTCTAGTGTTCTTTCCATAAATAAATATTTTTGGGCAATATGGACCCAAAACTTTTTGTTGAACTTATGGACCTAATCAAACCTAAGTTGGGCCTACCCTACGCAGATGTTATAAAGTCAAATTAAGCCTAATTAGGGTCTGTGTTAAAATAAAATGTTGAATCATCCGACGACCAGAGGAGCTTCTATGTCAGATTATCTGCCTGTGGGTGGGCCCCACCGGTTAGATCTCTTGCCATTCATATCGGAAAGAGATCCTTTTTTAATCTCTTCCACCAAGATCACCGGATCAAATAATTCAGATTTTTCAAATTTCATCTAACAACCCATCTATTTTAATCCATTAAAAGCTATGATAATTTTGGACTGTTGAATGAAATTTGAAAGATCCAAATCACTTGAGCCGATGGCCTTGATAGATCTATGTCAGATTATTTGTATGTGGATGGGCCCCACCGTTTAGATCTCTTTCCATTCATATTATCCATTGATATGATCATCACCACTACTCATCCAGAGTTTTCACACAAGAATTAAATGTTTTTTTTTTTTTTTTTTTTTTGAAAAAAAAAGATGTTAGTTTCCAATGCGACAAGGTAATATTACGATTTGAACTAAGTCAATCAACCTACTCTGATACAATGTTAAAATTTTTAAGAGACGAACTATTGGACAATAGCTTAATACTAACCATACTAATTTATTGCTCCACTACTAAGTATAAGACATATTTAGTTTGATTAGTTTCTCAATAAACGATTCTCATATTTTCAACACCTTACATGTCTAAGTTTACCTACCTTATTAATCATGCCTTACTACGTTTATTTGTCTTACACATGCATTATCGAGTGAATAAACAATTTCAAAAATTTCATTTAAAAATTCAAATTTTGAGGCACACCAACATTAATTCAATTGACAGTCAACGAAATCAGCCTCCAAATTATATCGATATTTTCATAAATTGAACTATAAATATTGCCTTAAACAACAATACTTTCATCACACGCAATAATACTTGACTCGAGCAGTAAAACACAAGTCCAAATGTTGACCACGACCGAGGAAACTAGACTTAGACTAATAAGTGTAATTACTCAGAATTTCTGTGTATACACAAATGCGGTAAAAGTAATTAATGAAGTATTACTACTGACCTAATTATCAATGCAGGAAAAAGACGGGTCGTGTTCTACTTACCGTGTTGGGCTTTTGATTCGTGGACGGTCCCCACCCTATGAGACCCGGCATACGTCTACGGCCCAATGGCCTACTGTCCGACTCCTACCACTGCACCGCACTGTACCGTACGCCTTCCCATTTGGAATAAAACTATAGCTCTTTTTTTATGGTTTTGTACAAATAATATTTAAATTAAATATTAATAAAATATTTATTGTCAATAAAAAAAAAAAATTCATAAAATTATCATTATAATCGTCTAATCAGAACTAAACATAAATACAAAAAAAATGGGATGTAATGTATGTGCCCCCAAAATTTTACGTTTTTTTAAAGCCTTACTTACATGTGATTCTAATATATCTATAAATAAAAAATAAAAATTTAACCACTATCCCACAATTGCGTTCTTTCTCACTCTATTCCTCTCATCTTTTCCACGGTCCACACTAACCACCTACAACCCCAATATGTGGGAATTTTTGTTTTTATTGTGAAATTGTATTTCCTTTTAAAATTCTAATTGAAGAAGGACAACTTTAGGATTATGAAAGTTTCACTCTTTTTGCATTTTCAATTTATATATACTGGTCTTTTACCACACATGTCATAATTGCCTCTTTTTTATTTTTATTTATTTATTCTAAAAAAGTTGAATTAATTACATTTGTTTAAAAGATTAAATAAAATAGATATGTAAGTAACTCGTCCTCATATACGTGAGGTAGTTTTGATTTTAATTTTTATAGTTTTCTCCCTTATAAATTAAATTGCGTTATTTAAAAAATTAAATAAGGGAGCAGCATTTTTTGGTATTACTTTTTAACATATTCTCACTTTGTGTATACGTATAAATTTATTTATTTATTATTTTACCAAAACAAAATTATTGATTATTTATATTATAAATAGGTCCGTAAATTTTTTGGATGACTTGTTACTTGACACCAAATGTCACGAAAATAACAAATTTTAGGTCAACCTATTAACAAATCAGATCGTTATCTATAATAGATAATGTCATATTTTTGTGTTCCGAAATTGTAACTTGCAAGTGAATGAAAGTTGAACTTTGTAAGGAACATGAGATCTAAGTTGGGAATTTTCTATAGCCAATCCCATAATTTTTGCTCACCATCTGACTGTGATGGTCACCCTCGTATATATCATTATGGAATGAGTTTAAATTTCAAAGTCTGTGTAATTTTTTACACACTTTTTTTAGCCATTTACACAATTTCGTTTAATTATAACCGTTAATTTATGTTTGATTTATTTAACTCAATGAATATAATTAACAAGAAATATGCGAGAATCTAAAAATAATGTGAAAATCACTTAAAAAGAACTTGAAAGTTGAAAGGGAAAAAACAGGGAAAATGGAGGCAGCGTTAGGCAAATAATGGTGGTCCCCCTCCATTTCATCATGTCATCCTCCTCCCTCCGTTTAACCCTCTCTCTCTCTCCTCACTTTCTCTCTCCTAACTCAGCTTCAGCTCTCACGAACTGTACAAATCAAATGAGGTAAGAAAATCCGTATAATTTTAAAACAGGACACCCAAAACAAGCAACGGTGCTTTCGTAATACTTCCAATGCCCCAGAACCAGAACTACTAATATCTCTCTCTCTCTCTCTCTCTCTGTCGTAATACTTCCAATGCCCCAGAACCAGAACTACTAATCTCTCTCTCTCTCTCTCTCTCTCTCTCTCTCTATATATATATATATACCCACTTGCCCAATTTGCCCACATTTGCTAGCTTTACCCATTTCTCTCTCACACCCAATTTCAGTCACAGAGACCACTGTTCTTCCCGAGACCTTAATCAAATTACCGGGCTTTTGCTTAATTGATACCTACACTTTGTCCGAGTTGAGAACTGAGCAATTTGTCACGGAACTGAGCTCTGTTTCAGTTCAATTTGCCGCCTAATTCAATGGACCCAACCGGAGCAACCGTACCTGGATCCACTTTACCGGGACCCGAGCTCGAGTCCCTCCAATTCCGGGAAGAAATTCACCAACTCATGACCGTGCCGCCCGAGAACGCCAGCTCCTTCACCGCGCTTCTAGAACTTCCGCCGACCGACGCCATGGAGCTCCTCCACCTCTCGCCGGAATCCAACTCTGCTCCGCTGCTGGCCGGCGTCTCTGCCGACCCCCAACACGCGCCCTACGTCCAGCAGCCCCCTTTCAATTCCAGCCTAACTTTCCCTACCAATTCCGCTCTAACCGAACGCACCGCCAAGTTCTCGATCTTCGCCGGCGATGGCTCGCCGGACATTAGCTCCGTGCCGTCGTACTCCGGCGCCGAATTGGAGAAGGTGAAGACCGAGCCGGCCGAGATCGATTCGAACCCTAACTCGTCGCAGCTGACGCTCGACGAGACCAAGAACAACCCGAGGAACTCGGCGAAGAGAAAGGAGCGAGAGAAGAAGGTAATTCCCCGTCCAATTAGGGTTTCTAGGTTCCCCTTTTTCGGAATTTTGCTGAAATTTCAAAGTGAGCAATAACAAATTCGAATTGAACCCCCTTCACTTTGTGAAATTCAGATTAAAGCCCCGACGAAGAAGTGCAAGACCGAAATCAAAGAGGACGCCGAGAAGATGCCGTACGTTCATGTCCGAGCTCGTCGCGGTCAAGCCACAGACAGCCATAGCTTAGCTGAGCGAGTAATCCTTTGATTAATTAAACCCACAATTAATTTTCACTAATCAAATATTTTGTGCTAATTAATTAAATATTCTGGGATTTTACAGGCGAGGAGAGAGAAGATTAATGCGAGGATGAAGCTGCTGCAGGAGCTGGTCCCAGGATGCAATAAGGTTCGATTAACTTTTAGGATCTTAATCTTTTGATTAATTGGTTGATTGGGGATTTTAAGTATGCTTGTTCATTGGAAAAGTGCAAATTGTGCTTTTTAAGATATTATGTGCTTTTTTAAACAACGGTTTTGTCATTGTCACCTTTTCACAAAAGTGCCTTGCTTTTCTACCAAGAAAAGTGCTCTCGGGGAGATAAATTTTTCATTGTGACGGGAACACGGATAGTACATCACGTGTTTTTATAGAAGTTGTAAGAAATTTTATTTTTTTAAGTTATTAACTTTTTAACACACATATCCCACCATTTGTATAGTGACACGTAGTGTACCATTCTGTACCGGACATATTGAAAAATCTCTTTATTCATGTTCCAATGGCATTTCCGTAATTACAATGCAGTTTCATTTTTTATTTTTATAATTTGGAGGAGAATTGAGAAAATGGAAAGTTGTAGTGGTGGGGTGAGGGTGGGTGTGTGTACTGGGTATGGTAAGGAGTCATTTTTAAGGTTAATTCTGTCATATGAAATTTCACTTAGTTTTGTCATGTTAGGAATTTGTACTCTTTTTCTTTGTCTAAATGACTCGTGATTCCAAATTAGTCTGAAATAAAGATATTTGAACTCGGGTGTAAGGCGGCGAACATATTGCCATGTTTGACCGCGGAAACAATCTTATGCTCTTGGTATATACCCTTTTCTTCCTTCCTCTCTCCTCATGTGATAAGAGGTACGAAGAAAGAATATACCAAAGTGTGTAAGTTGTAGACGTCTAACTGACCTAACTCAAATCTGTCATGACCCACTACTACTAATTCACTTAGAACATAGCTGAATTTTGTTTTAAATGACGGATACGCCCTTACTGACTAGGACATTGTCATGGGGTAATGCTAGCTGGACTGAGTTGTGGTGCTTTGGGGGAGAGACCCCACAATTAGCTGGCATGTTGAATTCGTAGATTTAGATATTTGTGGGTCCCACAAGTTAAAGGGAGGGTTCCCTCTACTACCATTTGTAACAAGTTTGGTATCCATCCCTCGTTGGATGACGGAAAAAGGAAGACAAAAGAAAGCCTCCTCTAACAAACTGCCCTTCACCACCTAACTGCGTGGGACATCATGATGTGAGTGCGTGAGAGTCCAATTTGCATTTCACTTGATTGAGCTGAACCAAAGATCTAGCATGCCTAAGATTCCTATCTGCTGATGGCAAGTTTTTGGGATTTTCTGGTATAATTTGTGTGAAATTACCTCAAATTGGATAGGACAAAATTTCGAATAAAATTTAGCAAATTACCTTCTCTTCGGTGTAGGTTTGATAATAGAAAACAAATGTGATTGATTTCTATCTGCTCTCATTCACATTGGAGTTGATCCATTGAGCTGTACACTGCTGGACGCTGACGGATTGCAATAAAATTTTACTCCACGTGATTCACCTTGCGGAAAGTGCCTAATGAGGACATTTTCTTAAATGAGTTGTTTATTTTAGTGTATATTTGATTCATTGCATCTGCATCTTGCCGTCAAAATATTCAAGTTTCAAATGTGCTTCCGTGTGGAATTGCACATTTTAGAAGTCATTCTGTTATTCTCCAGTGAAGTTGGCTATTGTATTTCAGTCTGTTCTTCATGCCAACTCTTGTTGTTCAAATAGACACGATGACAATGTTTTTGAAAATGGGAAATGTGGATCCATGGTGATCAGTTTGAGATTCTTATTGGGAATACCTTGAATTTCTGTAAAAAATTGTTCTACTCAGATATGATCTTAGTTTGGCTTGATCTGTAATTGGTCTCTTTACAATGACAAGAAAAATATATGATAAAGAAAATTATCTACCCAACTTAGGGCTCGTTTGGAAGTGCTTTTAAAATGACTGAAAGCGCTTTTGATGAGAGTGCTTTTGGAACCAATCCTTAGTAGAAATGCAAGTGCTTTGGGAACCCAAAAACATTTTCACCAAAAGCGCTTTCAGCCATTCTAAAATCACTTCCAAACGAGCCCTTATTTTTGCTGGTCAAATTTTATATGAGGAGCCAAAACATTTTGATCAATAGAGGGATACTCCAGTTACGGGTTCCATCTCGTTGAGTAGAATGTGTTAAATCAAACTTTTTTCTGTTAAAGGATCTTACGAATACCTTGAATCATTTGAATGTTTGTATGCATTTTTGAGAAATATTTTATGTTTCCAATTTATATAGTCACTGACTAAAAGAATTTTACTTTGCAGATTTCAGGAAAAGCATTGGTTCTAGACGAAATCATCAATCATGTGCAGTCCCTACAACATCAAGTTGAGGTCAGACCTGCTGCACATTTCGTACATCTCAAGTAATAGTTTTGACACTGAAATGAAAAGGCTTGTACTCGAAAAAATTGGTTAAAGAATCCTTTATTCCTTTGTTCTTCTGAATAAAACTTGAATGAACTGACGGATTCTTCTTAATCTTATGTGGGCTATTGGAAGCATAACCAGGGATTGGATATGTCGTCTTAAATCCTTGCATAAAACTCATTCAGTCTACCATTTCCATTTCCATAAGGTCTTAGAAAGTTTGGTTCCCGGAAAATCTGCAATTAATCATATTTAACTTGCCCAGAAGTTGTGCATAATTACGGATCTAGGCTCTGCTACCTGTCCTTGTATATACCACCATTTTGGTTTTAACCACTTATGCTTTAGTTATAGTACTGGTAATTTTGAACCATGTTTTAGTGCTATGTTCTGATTCTGGTTAAATTTTACTTTTTGTTTCAGTTCTTATCAATGAGACTTGCAGCAGTCAACCCAGGAATTGATTTCAACCTTAATAGTATATTGGCCGCTGAAGTAAGTATCATGTAGCTCCTTTAATTACTGTTGCATTGTAAAATTGGGAAACTATTAAGCTTGCCCTTGTGTTTTATGATTTTATCAGTTGTTCAGTACTCTTTTCGGGGGTGTGTTTATGCATGCATTCTTAGGTGTCTGTTTCCAGTTTCCATCATATGCAGTTATGCAAAATTATTATACACGTCAAATTGCTCGTGAAATTGCACCCCTGGAACCTGTAATCGTAATATCATATACTTAATAATAATAGCAGTGTAGATTACCAAACACTTTCATGGTATGTCAAGTTGAAGATTTTAGATTTGTGATTTATAACATGACAGACTGCAAGCAAAACATTGACACTATTTTCAGTAATTAATGTCAGGCCAGTGGATGGGTTTTGGACTTGGAGTCCTGTTCTGTCTGCTACCTGGCTAAGTTTTATATATCGACTGTTCTTTAAATTACGCTGATAGCATAAAAATCAGGCGATCTAAAGGTTTATTATGATTGTTGGTTTTAGAGGTACTACTGAAATTGGGGGTCCATGAAAAAGTAACTCTCTTTCGTAATAAATAGAATCATTGTAATTGATGGGCTACAATACATCACAGAGCAAGTTATATCTTTGAGTTAGCTTCAAAAAGTTGATACTGTATGTTTCTGTTACTGATATACTTTTCCCATCCTCCCCAATTTTCAGAGTGGACCTCTGATGGAAAGCAACTTCGCCGGTATGGTTACACCTCTGATGTGGCCGGAAGTCTCAATCAACGCTCACAGACAACCGTTTCAACAGCAATGGCACTTTGACACGCTTCAGCAGCCAGGTTGGGGGCGGGAAGAAGAAAATCATACTTTTATTACCCCAGAACCCCCCCTCATCAGTTGCGACTCTTCAGCAAACTCAGGTAGACCTTAGACTGATATTAAGGTTATTGGCAAAGTTCTTTTGCGTATCTCATTTTCGGGCTGAATTATCAATGAAATATATAGATGAGTTGCAATTTGTTTCATTTGCGACTCAAAAAGCAAAATGAAACAACGATGTTAACTTGATTTCGGTATTTCTTACAGAAAATCTGCAGACAAGTCACTTGAAGAAGGAGATGTGAAGACGTAATTGAGTTGTACTAGTAGAAATGTATATAGAAAGTATAGTATTAGCAGTTAGCAGGAAGTGGAGGAAATTCCTCAGTATTCATGGAGAGTTTCGTTGTTCTCCGAGTTAAGAATATCCCGATTTCCCTCGCCTCGAGAGGAAATAGATTTGGTATGTTTATCCTTATTAAGTATAACTATATATATAGATATACACTAACTATGAGGGTCATTGAATCTAATACCTATTTTTTGAACTGTTTGATTTGATTCCGATTGTAAAATCATTGAAGGAACCCTTGCTTTACACTACTGTTATTACAAGACTTCTTTGTTCATTGTGCACCATGAATTTTTCTGCACTTTAGCAATTACACGGCTAAGCTGCTGATGTATCTTGTCGAGGATTTGTACTCGTTTGATGTCGAAAACTTGTTCTTCGTAGTTAACGCAACTTAACTACATCCTCATCTGTCACAGTACGTCGTTTTGAGTTGACATCTCATAAATGATAGTCTTTACTAAAGCTTACTGATACACTTCTCTATGTTTTTTTAGCAAAATCATGTTACAGAAAGGAAGCAGGCCGTTTTGCTAGTTATTCGATTGGGCTTGATTTTCTTATGTGAAACAAAAGTGGCTTGTATTTTCAATTTTCAATTGGAGCTCTTTAGTTTGCTGCCTAGGGTGAATGGTTTGTAAGGAAAACCAATATCTGGATTTGCTTTGTATGTTACCGTCTAAAATTTAACCAACTCCATATACTCTATAAATTCCGTTCACTCATAATTTATGAGGTGTGGGAAACATGTTAGGATTAGTTGCACACGCAGGTACAAATCAATCATCACTATTCATGTTTTCAGGACACACAAAGCAGGGAGGGATGACCATGTTCATCATATTCTGTGTGCGAGTGCAACTAAACACTTCTTGTTGTGAGAAAATTGAACTTTTTTTTTTCCAGAGTAAATATAAAAATAGACCTAAGGGTTGTTGGTCTAGCAATCAGGTCATTAGTTTGCTCCCAAGTGGTCTGGAGTTCGACTCTCTCCCACAATACCCACCTAGCAAATGCTAGAGTTCCTCGCTCCCAAAAAATGTAGAGTCCGCTGGAGGGCCTAGTGATTAGTCGGGTCAAAGAGTTAGACTAGTTTATATATATTAAATATAACGTGTAACAAACGGGGACATAGCTTCTTGGACTTGAACCCTGGAATCTCCTTAAGCAGTCTAAACAATTTAGAAGGGTACCTTTTGGAAATGGTCAATCAATTTGCCCGCCAACTCTCCCTTTCGTCCTTCCCTCCAAAACCACAGAATTTAAAATCTCTATGCTCCAACGGTCAACTGAGAGAAGCTCTGTTGGAAATGGCCGCTATAGGCCTTGAGATGAAGTTCGACGGCTACTATACGCTCCTAAACGAGTGCATAAACCGAAGGGCTTTCAGAGAAGGGCAAAGTGTCCATGCCCACATGATCAAAACCTGTTATCTACCGCCTATGCACCTCGGAACTCGGTTGATTGTCTTCTACAACAACTGTGATCGTTTGGGTGATGCACGCCGTGTGCTCGACGAAATGCCTGAAAGAAACGTTGTGTCTTGGACGGCCATGGTTTCGGCTTATTCTAAGAGGGGGTATGCCTCCGAAGCCTTGAATCTTTTTCTGCAGATGTTTAGATCAGGTATATTATTGTTTTTATTCGAGTTATGTAAGTGCATCATTCAGACATTGCTCATGCTGCGAGTAAAGATCATCAGATTTTCTTGCTTAATTAAATGATCTTTTGATTAGTTCGAGATTATTGTTTATGTTTTTAATCTCGCTGTGGAACAAGGGCTTCTTGTATTGACAATATCGGCAAACTTTGCAGGTACGGAGCCTAATGAGTTCACATTTGCGACACTACTTACTTCATGTACTGGCGCTTCGGGATTGGACTTAGGAAGGCAAATTCACTCTCTGATAATAAGAAGAAATTTTGAGTCACACATATTTGTCGGGAGCTCACTTCTTGACATGTATGCCAAAGCTGGTAGAATCTATGAAGCAAGAGGAGTTTTCGACTGCTTGCCAGAAAGGGATGTTGTTTCTTGCACTGCCATAATCTCTGGCTATGCCCAGCTGGGTCTTGATGAGGAGGCTTTGGAGCTATTCCGCCAGTTGCAGAGAGAAGGAATGATTTCAAACTACGTCACTTATGCGAGTGTGTTAACCGCATTATCAGGGCTTGCTGCATTGGACCTTGGCAGGCAAGTTCACAACCACGTCCTTCGTCGGGAACTGCCCTCATATGTGGTTCTTCTGAACTCGTTGATTGATATGTACTCTAAATGTGGAAACCTGAGTTACTCAAGAAGGATCTTTGATAGTATGCCAGAGAGAACCGTCATCTCATGGAATGCTATGCTTGTAGGGTATGGTAAACACGGAATGGGAAAAGAGGTCGTTAAGCTTTTCAAATTAATGAAAGAAGAAAGTAAAGTCAGACCAGACAGTGTCACCTTTTTGGCGGTTTTATCTGGTTGCAGCCACGGAGGAATGGAGGATAGAGGGTTGGAATATTTTTATGAGATGGAAAAAGGTGAAAATGGAATTGAGCCAGAGCTTGAACACTATGGGTGTGTTGTTGATCTTCTTGGGCGTGCTGGTCGAGTTGAAGAAGCATTTGAGTTTATAAAAAAGATGCATTTTGAACCAACTGCTGCTATATGGGGTTCGCTTTTAGGTGCCTGTAGGGTTCACTCAAATATCGACATTGGTGAATTTGTGGGTTTCCGGCTTTTACAAATTGAGCCTGAAAATGCTGGTAACTATGTCATTCTTTCTAATTTATATGCTTCTGCAGGGAGATGGGAAGATGTAAGAACCGTAAGGGAATTGATGTTAGAGAAGGCTGTGATAAAGGAGCCGGGAAGAAGTTGGATTGAGCTTGACCAAATCCTTCATACATTTCATGCAAGCGATCGCTCCCATCCAAGAAGAGAAGAGGTGTCTGCAAAGGTGAAAGAATTGTCAATTAAGTTAAAGGAAGCTGGTTATGTTCCTGATTTGGGTTGCGTTTTATATGACGTGGATGAGGAGCAGAAGGAGAAGATACTACTAGGCCATAGCGAAAAACTAGCTTTGGCTTTCGGGCTGATTGCTACTGCTGAAGGAGTGCCAGTGCGTGTCATAAAAAACCTTCGGATTTGCGTTGATTGCCATAACTTTGCGAAACTTGTCTCGGAGATATATCGAAGAGAAGTGTCGTTGAGAGATAAAAACCGGTTTCATCACATTGTTGGAGGAATCTGTTCTTGCGGAGATTACTGGTGAGTTGTGAAGATCCTCCTTAAAAGCTACAAATGTCTGACTTAAGAGCGGAACATATACAAAATAGTTACGCTGTAACCGTGACACGAAAGGGAATAGTGAAACGTAGAATATTGAGAAATTATACGTGATTATTGATGTAGAGAAGTATAACGGCAGTCTCTGTGGACACTCCTGTAATTGAGAAAACCTTTCAATCTTTTTTTGAACAAAGGATATTACGTACACTAAGAGCAATTTTAGTGTGTAAGGGCTCCCCATAGCAATAGGCAATTGAATCCTCTTCACTGAATAGTAACTACCTTTAATGAACAGTAATTGTTTTTTCCATCTTCACCCTTAACCTGAATAATCATGGCAATAAACAATAAAATATTAGTATTTTTATTTTATAAAATAATAAAAAATAATTTTGTTTGTAATTTTGAATAGGATTTTTAACCGATCTCGTCATGTCACGTGTCATTATCCAAAAGTACAATTTTGGTGATAAATTTCGGGAAGGGATCCTAATCCACCAAATCAAGGAATCCGTGCCATTGAAAATCGATCCAACAACTGAAGTTATTATAACTTTTAAAGTGGGCTCCTGTTTGTAGTCGTTAGATTAAATTTCAATGACACGAATTTCTTGATTTGGTGGATTAGGAGGAAGGGATCTGTTCGATACAATTTTTTGTGATAGATTTCGATAAGATTTTATCCAATTCCGTCACAACACGTGTCATTATCTTTTTAGAATCATTGAGGATAAATTTCTAATAAGATTTTTAATCAATCTCGTCTTGCCACATGTTCACATTTCTCGCAACGGCATCTCATTACTCGTAATCGGATAATTAGTAACTTCAACCTCGCTAGAACACAATGCAACATCTTCAATAAGCGTCCAATTCGTACATGCATCATTAGCCATTTTCCTTTTTTTGGAAACAAAAGTATATAGAAACTTTGAGAGAAATATTCGAATGTGGTTGAAAGTATTTGAGAAAATATGGAAGTGTGGTTTAAGGTGGAAGATAATGATAAGGTATTTTTTTAAAAAAATTTAAATTTTTTTATTAACTTAATTAATTTGTACCGTTGGATTACACAAAATTTGAAATTCAACTCTCCAGATTGTGACATAAGGCATAACGGTAACATATCAAATTTTTATTTTATTTTTTTTAACTTTTAAAGTTGAAAAACTTGGACCGTTGATCTTGATTCGAGCGACTTAGAATGTGCCACGTCATCTAGCCGTTGGGGGAGTTTTGAAATTTTTTTCACTGTTGGAAATCGAACAGTCCAGAAAAAAGAGTCTTTGAAATCCAACGGGCGAGAGGGTGCCACGTTGCACCCAGCAACAACTACAAATAGCTTGTTTAGGTTGAGCCCCATTGCTTGCAAATCTTGTCGGTCACGCGCTCTCACGCATGCTTGTGTTGCACGCACCAGACACAAAATTTTTAATAGAGTGGCTGACGTCATCCCCCTCAAGGGCTCGAGCCTTGGATTTACGCCTGAGCTCTCTATCAGGCTCCCCCTTAGCCCAATAGCCTGAATGGGCTGGAGCTGCTTAGGCTGGCGATTTGGGTTGCTGGAGCAGCCAGTCCCCTTGGTGTTTAACCACGCTGGACTTGCTCTAAGAAGAGAGGAGTGGGTTTAGTCTCACAATGGGCTAGCAATAATGTGGTTCAAATTCGTCTTTCAATTTTAAAATCAAAACTCTCACTTTGTTTGGTTTCCAAACAATTCCATATAAACATATAACCAAACCAACACCAATTCACTACACATCTTTATGCAAAAAAAAAAAAAAAAAAAAAAAGAAGAAATAATTAAATTAAACTAAAAGTAATATACGTTAGGCTTAAAATATGGGTTTTGCACTTGTTACATCATCATTTAATGCCCAATTTAACGAATTGACTAAGAATCGTATGACATTGGGTTGAAATAATAAGTAAATGTATGAGATTGAAATGTTGTCTGAGGTTTTAATTGAATAGAAACATGAGCAGGGTAAACTATAATTTACCCTTTATAATTTGTTACGCATCTAATGAAAGTGCATAGAGGTAAACAGAGAGTGTCAAAATTGCAACCATATAAAATATATGGTGGTGCTATCCACATTATCTTTTTTACTTTTCATATATTCCTCTCAATTTCTGGTTGTCAAATCAAAAGTAGAAAGAGCTCACTCCTGAGTCCTGACCCATGATATAAATAAATAAAAGGAACTTTAACGAAAAGCTCCCGGTACTGTTCACTTTAACGAAAAACCACATTTTTATACTAAAAAGTCAATCATGGTACTATTCAATTTACCTTTTATTTTGTCCTTGTCGTTAAAACTCCAAGTTTTCAAGTCATTTTTATTAATTTTCTTATAAATAAAACCTAGGGTAAATAGCATTACCCAAAATATAAATAAATAAAACCCAAGGAGATAAATCTGAGTGGAGTTGGGCTTGTCCACCTGAGTCCTGACCCATAGAATTATATAGCAAAGGCCCATCAGATAAGCAAGCACCACAGAAAATCAAAAGTTCACTCTCCACAAAGCTGCTCTCTCTCTTCCTCTCTCCCTCTCTCTCTCCCTTACGAGCTGGTAATAAAACCCTTGTTCTAACCTTGCACCTGTATGCTAGTATTTCTCTTGTATTACTTCAACAACATCTTTTACAAATCATACCCTGCATTTGCACAAGTGTTCAGTATTTATACCAAACTGCAAGCTAAGGCAGTTACAAGATATTTCCCAAATCTTATCTCTAACCACCTAATTATTATTAGCACTAACAATCAACAATTACTAACAGATGCACTAATATCCAACAATACTAACTGCATAACAGCATCCTATCATTACCCCACCCTAAAAAATGAACCTTGTCCTCAAGGTTGGAATGCAGGAAACCTGTTTACAAATGCTGCATAGTTTTCCCATGTCGCCTCCTCCTTAGGACGATGCTTCCAGTGCACCAAAACCTCTGTCGTGGATGAACTACCCTGACCTGTTAACCGCCTCCGTAAGATTGCCAATGGATAATCCTCCAAGAGTCTGTCCTCTGTAGCTACAGGTAATGGGATTGCAGGAATGAGAGCAGAACCCAATTGTTTCTTCAAGCAAGAAACATGGAAAACTGGGTGAAGTTTTGATGTGGCAGGTAAGTCGATTTTATAAGCCACTGAACCAATCTTCTGCAGCACCTTAAAGGGACCATAAAACCGTGGCTGAAGCTTATGAAAGGGATGTTTAGCGAGAGATTGGTGTTGATAGGGTACCAAACGTAGAAAAACCATATCGCCAACCTCGAAAGATCGTTCACTGCGATGTTTATCAGCATGCTGTTTCATCCGTACCTGAGCCGAGACAAGATTAGTCTTGAGCTGAGACAAAATTCGTGCCCGTTCTTGCAAGCTTCTGTCAACCAAATCAACTTTAGTTGTTCCCGATTCGTAAGTAGGCACAGCAGGAGGTGGTTGACCATATACAACCTCATAAGGTGTCAGCTTTGATGAAGTATGAAAAGTAGTATTGTAGTGCCATTCTGCCCAAGGAAGCCACTGAAGCCACTTTTTGGGTTGATGACTGCAAAAACATCTCAAGTATGTTTCCAAACCCCGATTGGTAACCTCTGTTTGACCGTCGGTTTGGGGATGGTAACCAGAACTGAGACACAATTTGGAACCTTGCAGGGCAAAAAATTCCTTCCAAAAAGAACTCAAGAAAACAGGGTCTCGATCACTTACTATTGTGGACGGCATACCATGAAGTTTGAAGATATTATCAACAAACAGCTGGGCAACTGAATGTGCAGTATAGGGATGAGACAACGGCAGGAAATGAGCATATTTCGAAAGGCGATCGACGACCACAAAGATAATGGTTTTTCCCTTGCAAGGGGGAAGACCCACGATGAAGTCCATTGCTATATCCGTCCACACAGTAGAGGGAATGGGAAGTGGATTAAGTAAACCCGGGGAAGCAAGAGTCTCAGTCTTGTTTTGCTGACAGACCTGACAAGCTGCCACCCACTGCATCACATCCGATTTCATACCTTGCCAATAGAAAGACCTGGAGATCCGCTTATAAGTCTTAAGGAAACCAGAATGTCCAGCCATGGGAGTGCAATGATGCTCATAGAAAATCTTCGCTCGCCAAGAACTCGATGGACTCAAGACAACCCTGCCGTTATACTTCAGAAATCCATTATCAAAATGGTATTTAGTTGCAGAAGTGGAAGCACCATCAGAAGATAAGGATAAGGCTTTAATCTTGGCAAGAATCCAAGGGTCTTGTTCTCCATGCCGCCTTATATCATCCAACCAACCCATGTACGGATACGAAATGGCAGACAACTCAACATAAGAAGTTATTCGAGAAAGGGCATCAGCAGCAATATTATCACATCCTCGTTTGTATTGTATCTCGTAATCAAACCCAAGAAGTTTAGAAATCCACTTTTGTTGAAAAGGGGTGTGAGCTCGATTTTGCAAAAAGAACTTCAAACTGTGATGATCAGTTTTAATAATAAAGTGTCTGCCTTGAATGTATAACTGCCACTTCTTGATTGCATGCACAATTGCCAACATTTCTCGTTCATAAGTGGACATTGCTTGAGCTCTGGGACCTAATGCTTTGCTTGTAAAAGCAATTGGTTTACCACCCTGATGCAAAACAGCCCCGATTCCAGTATTGGAAGCATCAGTTTCTATTGTAAATTCTTTGGAGAAATCTGGTAAAGCAAGAACTTGGGGAGACACCATAATATCCTTGAGAGCGTTGAAAGCCATAGTAGCCTCATCAGTCCATTGGAAGGCATCCTTTTTTGTAAGAACTGTCAGGGGTCCACAAATCTGCCCATAGTTCGGAATAAACTTGCGATAATATCCCGTAAGGCCAAGAAATCCCCGTAAAGCTTTAACAGATTGAGGAAGAGGCCAATCCTGAATAGATTTCAGTTTAGAGGGGTCTGCAGCCACCCCTTGCCTGGACACCACATGGCCTAAGTATTCAATTTGGGACTTACCAAAATCACACTTGGTTTTCTTGACAAATAACTGATGGTCTTGGAGGACATTGAAGACCAGAGACAAATGGTGAAGATGGGATTCCCAAAAGGCACTGTACACTAAAATATCGTCGAAGAAAACCAAAACAAACTTCCTCAAATAGGGTCTGAAAATCTCATTCATCAAACTTTGGAAAGTAGCTGGGGCATTTGTAAGCCCAAATGGCATTACTAAAAATTCATAATGACCATCATGGGTGCGAAATGCTGTCTTCTCAATGTCACTAGGATGTACTCTGATCTGATGATAACCAGCTCGCAAATCCAACTTCGAAAAATATTGAGCACCAAATAGCTCATCCAACAATTCATCAATTAATGGTATTGGATACTTGTCCTTGATTGTTAACAAATTAAGAGCTCTATAATCCATGCACATCCTCCAGCTATTATCTTTCTTTCGAACTAGCAAAACAGGTGAAGAAAATGGGCTGTTGCTAGCTCGAATAAAACCCGAGTCTAATAATTCCTGGACACACTTCTCAATCTCAGATTTTTGTAAAGGACCATACCTATAAGGCCTTGCACTTGGAGGCTTGCTGCCCTCCAAAAGAGGGATTCGATGGTCATGAGAACGGGAAGGAGGCAGTGTGGTTGGTGCTTGGAATACAGAAGCAAACTGAGATAATAAACTATCCAACTCGGTGGTTTGAAGAACAGTGAGATCCCCAACAATAGCAATCTGAGTCTCGGGCTCAATGAAGAAAAGAACCACACCAAAAGGACCTTGAGACAGCAACTTCTCCACTTGACAGGTTGAAACGGGCAGTGGTGAAGGGGGAGGAGAACTACAAAGACAATAGTGCTTCTTACCCAATGTAAATTCCATTTTTAGCTTGTCAAAATCCCAAAGAATAGGACCCAAAGTTCTCAACCATTGAGCTCCTAAAACCACATCACAACCACCCAATTGTAGGACATAGAAATCAGAAATATACTCATATTGTTGAATCTGCAACTTAATCTGAGAACAACAACCCTTACTGGAAATGGTTCCCCCATTTGCAATCATTACCTCAAAAGAACTATTAGAGTCAACCTTCCAACCCAATTGTTTGGCAGTAGACAAGCTAATGAAGTTATGTGAGCTACCCGAATCCAACAACACAACAACTGGACAATTTTTTATGAAACCAGAAACCTTCATAGTCTGAATATGTTGAGGAGCTGATGAACCAAAAACTGCACAAGCTGTAATTTCAATTTGTTGATTATCTTGACCCTCTCCACCTATATCCTCAATCCTATCCGCAGAAAGATCTAATAGTAGTAATTGCTGAGTAGCACAAACATGACCCCGAACCCATTTCTCTGGACAAGAGTAACACAACCCCTTTTTCCTACGATCTTGAAGTTCTTCAAAGGACAGTTTCCTCACATTACTAGCCCGAGATGTACTAGAAGCAGAATTATTACCAGAGAACAGAGGCACAGATTTGGAGGTGGGAACATTACTGAAAGAAGACGCAGAATTTCTGGAGAAATTCCGAACCTTGGTATCTGAGAGTTTGATGTTCAATTGGAAAGCCAGAGCAATTGCTTCATGTACATCAGATGGGCGAAGCAATTTGACATCGTGCCGCAACTCCGGTATCAGCCCTCCAATGAAACAACTGCGTAGCATTACTGGACCAATCTCCGTAGTCCGATTTGCTAACCGACGAAACTCAGAGACGTACTCCTTAAGAGAACCCAACTGCTTCAATTGAACTAGGGCTTCGGTAAAGTCCTCGAATTCAGAGGGCCCAAATTCTTTACAGAAGACATGAATGAAATCTTGCCAATTTGGATAATTCTTGATGCAATTCCGCCATTGAAACCATTGTAAAGCTTCGTTGTCCATATGGAAGGAAGCCATTCGCACCTTTTGTTTATCGTCGACAGTGAAGTAATCGAAATAGTGCTCTGCCCGATAAACCCATGCCAAGGGATCATCGCCGTCCGAGAAGCGAGGAAACTCAAGCTTGATCAATGGCGGCCGTGGTTGAAAAGACGAATCTTGACGGGGAAAACGCTGACCCATATGATCAATTGGATCTGATAGGGTTTCTTCAGAACTACCCATGGGATTTGAGGAATTTCCATGGTCCACAGGGCCACGAGGAGGACGATCAGTACCCGCCAAATGAAATTCCAAGGCTGCAAATCTCGACTCCATGGATGCGATTACAGTGGACAAGTTCTGCATTGTCGACCCGATCGTCGCGACGGAAGACTGGATTTCCTGAACCGAACCTTCAAGAGCTGCTACTCGTGTATCCATGGTTTTGGCACGCGTCGTTGCTCGCGTCATACAAGAAGGGAAACGTGGAGGATTGTTACTGGCTGATACCAATAATAAAACCCTTGTTCTAACCTTGCACCTGTATGCTAGTATTTCTCTTGTATTACTTCAACAACATCTTTTACAAATCATACCCTGCATTTGCACAAGTGTTCAGTATTTATACCAAACTGCAAGCTAAGGCAGTTACAAGATATTTCCCAAATCTTATTTCTAACCACCCAATTATTATTAGCACTAACAATCAACAATTACTAACAGATGCACTAATATCCAACAATACTAACTGCATAACAGCATCCTATCAGCTGGGAGCAAAAGTCTTCACCATACCCGCCTCCACAATGCTCCGCCATCGCCTCGTCCAGGCGCTCCGAACCCGCGGCGGCTCTGCCACCGGTCCTAGCCGGTGGACCAGCCCGGGCCACGAGGAACAACCCAAAGGCTACCTCTTCAATCGGACCCCACCTCCCCCAGGCCAGTCTCGGAAATGGGAGGATTGGGAGCTCCCGTGCTACGTCACCAGCTTCCTCACCATCGTCATCCTCGGCGTCGGCCTCAACGCCAAGCCTGATCTCACCATCGAGACTTGGGCTCACCAGAAAGCCCTCGAACGGCTCGAGATCGAGCAGGCCGGCCTCTCTGTCGCCGCGTCGGGCGAATCTGACTGAAATGCGATCTGGATATGCCGGTTTGTTCTGAGATCGATCCCTTTTTTTTGGTTGAGTTGAAATGGGTTTTCGGTTGTTGATATGATATGTAGTTGAAATAAGGGTTTGGGGATGTTTACTTCATAATTTAGTTGTTTTTCAATTATTTGTATGTTTTTACTCTTCGATGTTATCGAATAGTTCATCAATTTCTTGCCTCTAATTACAGTTTTTTATGCTTATAATTTGAATTATGCAGTGGTATCAGTAGCTAAATTTATAGAATTAGGATGCATTCGTGAAAATTTCTAGGACTAGGATGCCATCTATGTGCCTTAAGGGCTTACACTGTTGATAGTTAGTCCGAAGAGCATAAGTAGGATATATTTGTACTGGGTTTTGCTTCGAATGATGATAGATGTGTAACGAAGGTTAACAAAATGATAATGATGCTAGATGTGTAACGAAGGTTAACAAAATGATGCGACAACTTACATGGTATGTAAGCGCTTGCATCAGTTTATAAATTAGACATTGTAGAACTTTGGGAACAGTTAGCGGGCTTCTTTTTCTTGTAATTGTTCATTCGGAGATATAAGTTTTAGAGGCATGGAGAGAATCAAAGTGCTGAATTGATACATAGGAGCCAGGATTGTAATCTATGTGCATAAAACATATCTGGATACTTAGCACTTACACAGTAACACTAGTAATGAGAATGCCATCCCACTTTATAGGTCTACAAGTTATATTTCGAAAATCGAACTATACATCTCATAGGTCATCCCTTAAAGATCATCTCAGCATAAAATAAAAAGAATACGAAATTATATGATCTTTGAATCGAAAGAAGTGTGCCCAAAATACTGATGTTCGAATCAATTTTTAAGCTATGTTGAAGTTTGAGGAACCTAAATAGGATAAATTTTGTAGGGATTTTGCTTAAAATGATGCTAGATGTATAGAAAAAAGGTTTACTAAATCATGTGAAAATTACATGGCATGTAAGCTCTTGCATCGGGTTATAAACTTAAACACCATAGAACTTTGATACCATTTAGCATTTTTCTTTTTCTTATAATTGTTTCCTGGAAACATAAATTTTGTATGTGTGGAAATAATCAAAGTGCTGAATCGTGATATAGGAGCCAGGAGTTGTGGTTTCCATGAGTTTTACAAATCACATTTAGAATATAAATGCAGATCAATGAAATTTTTCTCTGAAACTTTGGAAGTATTTGGGTTGGTAAATAACGCACTCAAAGGTTTTGATTAGCCAGTATCATGAACACTGTCTCTATTCCATATTTCATCATTGAGGTTGTCGGCTAACTCTTGAAAGAAGATTCATTCTCTTTAGTGGGATGGAGTATGTTGTGGTCTCACATTATAAAACTTGGTTGATGCTTGGGTGATTTCTTGGTTTGATCATAGAGGTCTTTTGTGCTGTTAGGAAAATCATAAACATAGTTTAGGTGTCGTTAGCTAAAACTAGAGCACTGTGGTAATCACCTATATCTATAACTGAACTGGCTGGTACCCTTTTCAGCGGGTTTAATTATGTTTCAAGTTGATTACCATTGAGAGATGCAAACGGGTGAATTGTTCTAGTTTTATATAATCAAGGAATTGTTTCTGGTACTTATCAGTGAGGTATTTTTCATTTGACATGTGATGGATTTTCATGGTATAGTTCATTTGTATCAAGAAGCTGGAGCTCTTGTTGCATTGTCACTCCATACCGTTTCCCAATCTTAGCGACTTGTTTTTGGTATAAAAAATGAAGGGTTGGGACCTTGGCGTTGATGAAATTTAGATTCAGTTATCTCTGTCCTTTTATTTTTAAGTTTTTCAGACATAGGCAACAGGGTAGCCCTGAAAAGTCCCAGGTTGTGATGAATTGGTACAATGGGTACATAAAAGGATCAGCAGCTAGTCTTTGTTCCAGGTTGATTTTCTTGTTAGATTTAGTTGAATCGAAGCTATCATCTTTGAGGGATTTTGAGTTGTTCTGTATGGTTCAAATATATGCCATGAACCTTGAATGTTGCAAAACCATGAGTTTGTAGTTAATTGGTGCTCCATGTAATGGGACATAGGTTCGTGTGTGGTACAGATGTTCTCATGTGTATTTTTCTCATGTTTTATGGAGAAACTTCTCTTCTTTCGAACGAATTTAAGTTCGAATTTATAGGTTTAGTCTGTTTGAAAAAAATCTCGAAAACTTAGAGGTGGAAAAATAAGCATTCTAGAGCAAAACCCTCTTGTAACACTAATGATAGAAATACTCCAGTTTAGGGTAATTCATACTGACTGTCCCAGAACCAGGAAAAGTTGGTTTCAAACTTTCAACTTTTACCTCAATGCTCTTGCTCAGAGAAGCAGATACACGATTCCCTCCTCTCCGTCCCGTGCCGCTGGCCCATTGGCCACCAGCGGCGTCTGACCACAGTTTCCGGCAATACACTCCCCAACCTTCTCTCATTGCCTCTTATCGTTGCCATGTTCACCAATCAAGAGTACGAGAGGATGTTTTGCTTTAAGCCTGTCATACTTTCTTCCCCTTCGTTCCACACTCTTCAACGGACTTGTAACAATTAGCTCCCGTTTAACAGCAGTTATAGTCAAGTAATCGAGAAGTTGGAAATTATCAGTGACCCTCAAACCCTCTAATTTCGACTTCTCGGAGGTGATCATGGGAGCATTTGGGGGGAGTATCTTTCTTTTCGTTTCTTCTGCCCAGACTTCTTGAATAGAAACTCAAGTGCACCTGAATCGAGAACAAACCAGAGCAATTCCATCAAGTCTTACACCCCTAATTCGTATTTTAGTTCGTTTGCAAAGAGCTTAATTATAGCCGAGCTGGTTAAGAGTATTTACTCTCGAAACCTAAAGTTTTGATTAGTTACTGCTTGTATATATATAAAAAATTGAAAAGGCGTAGACTTACATTCAACCCAAGTTTAAGCAAGCAAGGGGACGCCGTAACGAAGGAATTTAACTGAAGAAGATTGCAATGATCATCTAAACCAAATGTTAATTCCAAATGCTTGAAATTTTCAAGCATAGGAAAACACAATTCTCCATGTTCATTTGAAAACCAAACAATAAGGCACTAATTAAATATAATCCCACTAAAACCAAGGAGAAGCAAACATATAAAGTTAAACCACCACAAATGTACTAACCAGTATTCCATCCAGTTTGAGAGTCTCCAGCTGAGAAAACCAATATGGAAGTTGATTCAAGGCAGCCTCTATGAATCCATCATTGTCAGCACAGATGGATACATCTACAAGTTGCGGTACGTTCCTAAGAAGGTTTATCCGACCTCCGATACAAAACGATACAAGATTTGCGCCACAAATATCAATGCTCTCGATCTTGCAACATTGTCGTATCTCTATGTACTTCAGTGCGCTCGACAGATTGACTACTCTTAAATTAACCAAATCATTGGAGTAGTACTGATAATCGTTCGAGAACTGGACAATTAGACATGATGTAGTTGAGAGCTTTTTCAGCCCCACCAACACTTTTGAAACAATGAACTTTGAGGGATTTGAACCCAATGGATGCAGAAGGGTGTGGACTTGGAACAGCAGGAGACAAATTGAAACCTTTCATCAATGGAACATGAAATCTTTACCATCACAGAGACAAAAACGCAACCTGCACTGCTCAATTACTGGGCTTTTATGTTGTTGTAGCACACTATTCACCCAATCAATGTACGTGTTACGCAGTTTTTCGAAGCGCACGCTGCATGATGTTTTTTGGGGATCAAAGTTGAGAGTCGTAGTGGACGTTCACATGTACCTCTATAGCTAAGAAAGGATACTAGCTTATGCGGCTTTCTTGAGCGGCAAGAAAGGCAATATACTGACAAGAACTTCGTCTGGCAACTCGCTGATTCGGTCTACCGAGTTGTACTCATGCTTACCTTTCTTTCTTTTTCCGTTTCCGTCCCCCATGGTGATCAAACCTATGAATTGGACATCCGAGGGCCACCCAATGGTCTAGACATGTGGTGGAAGAGAGAAGATCACCATAACTCTGATCTTGGACCTTGGTTACAATGTAGAAGAAAAACTTTTCTCTCCATTTTTCACGGGGCCAACTCTCATCTTTTTTTTTCGATTGATGTCTAATCAGGTGGTACTATCCTAGCATAAGGGATGATGTATTACTTAACCAATATTTTTAAAACCATATGTTTGACACCATATTTTTGAAAAAAAAAATCCCTATAAATTCATACGATTCCTAAAAATTACTTCATAAAGTATTATGAACTCATAGTTGCTTGCACTTGCATCTCATACCATCCAATTCACTAAAATACTAAAGTAAAAATTATGATATTTTTGTATGTTGTATGTTCAATAATAAACCTCAAATTCTCAATACAAGTAAAGTTTTTTTTTTTGTAAGTGTAAATAGACGCTTACTTGTATGATATATAGTAAGTTTACTTAAATATGTCTAGCTCATCTAGGCCTTTGCCTAGACCACATCTAGGCGCACATAGACGTCCAAGTCCATTGCAGGACTAGTGCTTAATGTCCCTTGATTAGGACCATCTGAAGTTAGAATTCTGAATCCACTACTGAGTGTAAGTGATGCATGAGATAAGTCTCTTTTTGACATTTTATTCAATGATATGCCCTCGTAGTTTACTCAAAACTGTCATTGTTTTAAAAAATAATTTTGGTACCTTTTTACTTTTATTATTGATTTTAGGTAAAGGATAACTTACATCCCCCAATAAATTTTATGAGAATGAACATAGCTCACCTATTGCACCATATAAATTTTATGATTGACTCTTTAATATCTTAATCTTCATTTGAAAATCGTATTTATAAAAAATTATTCTAATCGGAGATCGTCTATATATCTAAATTCGAATGTATGCAACAAATCGATGGTGTGAGTACCAAGTAAAGTTTTCATGATGAACCAACCATTTATTTAATACATTTAGAAGACAACTATCTTTGATTCAAATGATTTTTTTTTATGATCATTTCTAAGACTTGAACTTGCATTCTTGCAACTTATTAAGTCAGGTGATACATGAAAAGATTATATATAGTTAGTGTAACACCTTTCACATCTGTTAATTTTTGTGAAAAACACTCAGAGTCAAACTATCGGAAAAGCATGATTACCTGAACTTTCATAAATAAAAGAAATTTTAAACAAGAAGTTGGTCGGATC